ATTTCTTTGTTGGAAACTTTTAAATGACAAAGTATAATTGTTGTCATTATAAATATAAATTTTTCCATGGCCACGGAGGAGAATCACAGATTGTGGGTCACGTTCAGCAAACAGTCACGAACTCACTGGACTTTTTATATATATTTCAACAAATGACAAGCAAAATCAAATCCCTATAGAAGCTTGGGGAAAGTTTTGAAGCATTTTAAAATGCTGGTTTAATGTACTGAGACACTGCTAAAAGACATGCAGATGAACCCAGAATATTAACGCGACATGTTTAAACTTAAATAGTTTCCCTCTCTTTAGAAAACTGTAATGTAGAAAGCGCTTATGGATTAAGACATTGATATTTAAAGTTCATATTTTGGGTTCATCTGTTTTTCTGCACATATTATGCTTTATTAATAAATACGTGTGTAGGCCTACTGTCTCGGTGCATTAAGCGTGTTCTTTAACATGTAAATAAACGCGTTTCATTCATATTTTGAGTTTATATGCATATCTGCACATAGTATATGCTTTACAATTTTTGTCTTTATCACTGTCTTGGTACATTAAGCCACTTAAGCATTTTAGAAAGACCCCTGTTCAAGTTCTGCTAATCCACGAGCCTAGTGAGAGTCATGCTCGCAAAGAAGGTAATTATTAAACCAACAAAATCAAAACTTTCAAAAACACACAGCAATGTGATTCTTTTATTGAGTGAGAGTCAGTGGGTTTAATCAGTGACATTAACAGATTTACTATTCGGTGTCTTCTCCGCGACCTCCTTCCCTTGGTGTTTTTACACATAGAAAAGGCGGGAAAACATATTGCATCATTGCGTAATCACGATGCAAAATTGTGTCACTGCATCAAATCCCAGCAAAAAGAAAAAAAAGTAAATATGTTCATTTAGATGTGTTTATAAAATAATATAAACGCATAATATAATATTAAAATATAAATAACTCATTTTAAATACAACATTGAATTATTAAACACTTTCACATTTTTTAACAATTACAATTTAAGTTTATTTTTATTAGCTAGTAAACTAGTAAAACTACTCATTCTGAACAATTATAGTTTTAAGCAGTGTATTAGTAGTTCGTATGCTACACTCTAAGAAAAGTCTGTAAAAATAGGGCAAAATCTATTAATATGAAGGAATTTTCCGTAATTATTATTCACGCGTTTTTTTACCTACATTTTAAATTAAGCATTGTATTTTGTGTTTTCGGGTTACAATGGATAATGGAAAATGTCCTGGGCCCGGTTCCCCGATAACGCTCACTCTTAGCGCGCTAAGAAGACTCGAAAGATATATCTTACCAAAGTTGTTTATGTTCCTAAGTGTGTTCCCCGAAGTGTCCCGTAGGAAGCTTCTTAACACGCTGCCTCTTACGTTCGACGTTACAGAGGCGCTGTCCCAAGTGAAGGTGCTGAATTAGTTGATTAAACAATTGCTAATAGCAGCCAACTTAATTCATGTGATGTGTGTACTGCTTAGGCACCTTTGGTTTCCTCTTTTTGTGTAATTTAGATGGAAAATGTGTGCCTTTTTTATCGTTTGAGTCACTTATCAAAAGTTGCTAAATGTTGCCAAATACATTTTAAAAAAATAGCTACATTTGTTGCTAGGTGCTTTTGGAAGAAAAAGTTGCTAGGGTAGTCTGAAAAGTTGCTAAATATAGCAACAAAATTGCTAAGTTGGCAACACTGGTTACATCGCATTCTCATTCTTTATTGAGCGTGAATAAGAAGCTAAGAAACGCGGAAGCGTCGCGT